TCCTTTCCCTTCTTACCTTTCTCTTCTTGACTCAAGCCTAAGCTCAGATCAGGGATGACAGACATAAAAGGGAAGAGATCAATTCCTTTTCGTATCTCTGTACGTCCCTACAACTTATGCCTCTAAACCCTCTTTTGAACTGAATTTACCTTTTAGATTGTAGTAACATAAAATTTTTCCTTTTATTCTTCCTTAAATAATTTCTTTTTCCTTTTCTTTTTTACTAGTACATGTTTGCAGTACATAATGTCTACATTTATCCTAGGGAGGTATATGTATTTAACATAGCTTGTCCTTTTTATTGTCCTTCCCCTCCATCTATAGGTCCCCTTCCCATTTGGAAAAGATCTAAATCCCTGCTTCCTATTGTCTTTTATTTGCCCAAATCACTTCTTTTGTACAGCAGGGATGGTTCTCATCTCTGTTGTTCTGGATAAATAGCTCTACTGGAGCATTTCCAGCTTCTTCAAATCTTTCTCAAGGTCTGTGTATTGACGTGCACATGGCCCTCCAGAAGCTTCTGCCCCTGACTTAGAGAAAGAGGATGATGCAGAAACCCCTGCTGCATCTGTTTCTAAGATGTTCTGGTGTATAATGTTCAAAACTGTCTGGAACTGTTTGCAGGATAAATACCCTTCAAGAAACTGTGGAGTTGAGTAGTTTTTGTTAGCAGGAGGGTAGTGTGACTGTTACATACCTTACACGGTGACACAGGTGGTCACTTCACTCATGAAGTAGTCTGCAAGGCAGAACCACAGCATTGCAATCAAAGGCCTGAGATCCTGACCAAAGAGGAGGAAATGTAGCTTTGGGGAAGCTTTATGAGTTGTTCTAGGGGTAAATGATTTACACTTTTAACTTTACAATACATTAGTACTTAAGCTGTCCAGAATTAAAAGGACAGAAAATGAAGCAAGCTTTCCAATATCATATAGTTAATAAGTAGAAAAGCAGGAATTCAAGTTCAGGTGTGTTTTTCACTCAACCATATTCCTTTCTTTATGCCAGTTAACAAAATTTGTTGATTGACTACTATGTACCTCATGATGTGCTAGGCTGTAAGGACAGAAGACACGTAAGACATAAACCTTATCTGGGAGGCTATTTGAATCTATTCAAGAGATGCAGATGTGTAAAGAAATAATTGCAGTGAAATAGTATGTGCCTGTATTTCTTGCCTTTGAATTTTCTATCATAGTTTGAAATAGATGAGTAGAGAAAATCTCATTCTGGCAGAATTTTAGGTCTATGAAAAGATACAATCAGAGAGATAAATTAAGTGTGCCTATGTGCTTTATGAGAGTCCCCAGCACCTGAAGTCACTTATATCATTTGTATATCTTCATCCTTGCTCTCCTAACTTTGTAGCTTCAATGGAGCCTTAAATTTCTATGATAGGGAAGAAGAAAAGACAGTTCTCAAACATTGCATTAAGTTAAAAAAGCAGACATTGTTGATGCTAATAATCACGAGAAAGGATAGTAGTATCAGATGTATCTTGGAAAATATTTTTAAAGTTGTTTTAAAATTGTATTCTGTTTTTCACCTTTTCTATAGAGTATTACCTGACCCATTTTTATCTCCCTCACAACCCTGCATAGGTGCTCTGTAAATGCTTACTAATTATCACCACATCAAGTGTGACGGAACTTGGAGATCATTGTGCTATTTAGTGACAATTTTTCTGAAGAGCAGATAAGTCCCAGAGTGACACTTGGTCCCACACGCATGGCTGGTGATTCATCACCATCTAGGGAATAATATTCTGTTACTGATCATGTTCTTCATGTACATAATCCCTTTTTACACAACTTCCATCTTAGTAAGACTGTGATGTCTATCACAGCTCCAGGGCACAGAACATTTGTTGAAGGAATGCATTTTATTTCCAGTATTTTTTTCAAATGAGGCCCAGGAATCCCAAGATGCCCTTATATTAGTTAGCAAAGCATTGTGAAGAAGGACTGAGAAGATTTAGATAATTCTTGTGAAATAATGAAAATAATAACAATAATAGTTACTGTTAATCAGTATTGTTCTGGTCTAGGAACCTGACATTTGTTACCTTGTATAATTTCTGCAGCAACTCTAGGAAGTGGGCAGTAGTGTGACCCCCATTTTACCCAAGAGGATTGTGAGGCTTTAAGTGATTAGTCATTTGTGAAAAGTCACATAGGTAGTAACCAGATTGAATCTACTTTGAAAACTAGACTAGAAGTCTGTCCTTCTGCAAAGCCTGCACAATTGATTTATGTAAACTAAGCCATGCAATTTTTTTCTGACCCTATTAATGTCTATAAAGTAAACTTCATTCTTTATACAGTAAGGAGATCCAGAGATTAAAATTAGAGAACACAATATTTCTTCAACTCTGTAAAATCCAATGATTTTAGGATAACCTTTAGGAAGGGTCATAATTTTAACAGTGATTTTTTTGTAATTTTTATAGTTTCTATACTCTGTTTTATTAGCTACCAGACATTTCTTTTCAACTGGAGATTAGTAGGAGAGTATCCATTTCTAATTTATTACTAAATGGTGTAGATGTGTTACCCAAACACAAGATCCAAAATTAAGTTAATGCATCAGCTTCACTTTTCCATTCAAGTAACCAAAATCACAGCATTGTGTGCTAATGAAGTACCCAACATTTTGTTTGAAGTGAGCTGGCATGACAATTTGAAAATCTTAGAATACAGAACTTAAAACATTTGCAAATGGGTTTCTATGTTGAAAGATGTTTGCTTGTACTTCTGAAAGGAGGTTCTTACTCTTTTTTTTTTTCTTTAAATAGGTGTTTTTACTTGCAATGTTTTGAGAATTAGCAATGACTTGAAAAAATTTATGTTTGGATATTAAATACCACAGAGTTTCTGAACATGTCTCTTTCGGTCTATGTTTCTCTATTAAAAAATGTTGATCACACTTGAAGGGTCATGTTCTTTCAAAATGTCTAATTTCACCTGAGCCTTCTGTAGAATTCTAGAGAGCACTGGTTTTGGCTATTATTTTGTTACCTTTAAAAGGACTAAGCACACTTCTAAAATTGAGTTTTGTAAACAAGAGAAACCAGGTGCATTAAATTTTGTTAGTGCTCCATGGTATCTTACAAATATCTAGAGATGGCCAGTTTTCTCAGTTTGCCTTTGATGACATAAAATAAAATAATTATAGTTCATTGAATGCTTGGTAGATGCTCAGCACCTTGCTAAACACTGTATGCATGATCTCTTCAACCCTCCTTTAATCTTACTAAGCCTCAGTTTTCTAATCTGTAAAATGAAAGTAAAAATAACACAGGAGGGTTTTAGCTTATTTAAGGTCATGTGATTAATAAGTGGAAAAGGTTGGATTTGATTACAGGCATTTGTAGGAGCCCAGGCTGCTACCATTATGCTGTAATAGGCCTGGTCAACACGCACTTCTACATTTCAAGGTTAGTCAAGTCCCCATAACCCTAATTGTCTGTGTTATGAAAGGGGCAAAGCTGTTTCTTCATAATTCTGTTGGCACTATCCAAACAGACACCTGTTTAGAAAGAGTCTGAGTCATTCTCAGATAAGATGGTTGGCTTTATTAGTTTGCTTTCATAGAAATGGTTTGAACCTATAGTTAGCAAAGTGCCTCCTATGTAGCAGTTACTAAACTTTAAACTTTACTTGGTGCACTTTATAAAGAAGAGCCTACACAACTGCTTTACACATACCCAGCAAGAAGCTATGCCTCAGGGAGATTTCCCCAAAATACTGACTTATTGATTGACGAGAATCACACATGTTTCTCCATCATATTCTTCTCATGATCAATCTCATGGATATTTTCAACCTATAATACATGACAATTTTAGGATGGGGAGAAAATTAACTTTGAATCTGCAAAGCTGGCTTTAAGGTGTGACTTCAGAGAATCTAATTTTTTTTCATGTCCAAGATGAGAATAGCATTTGCTCTGCTTGTCCCACCCCACTTATTTTAATGATGTAAATTGGAAAGCTTTCTCCAAATGACAGATGAAGTGGCATTATTCTCAAAGGCAAAGAGTTTGAGGCCAAAAAGATTTAAGTTTAAAGTCAGATTTTAACACTTACTGGCTGAGTGATTTTGGACACATTATTTACCCTAAATAAGATTATTGTAAAGATTAAATGAGATAATATCACTTCCCTGCAACACAACAATCTCTAGAGAATAGGTTCTCTTGATTAGCACTTAGATGTGTGTGATCTTATTTCAATGTAAGTAAGTAAAGAAGAAACAAAACTATTGGAAAGACCTGAATGAAGATGTGAATAGACACTGTATAGAAGAATGACATGAGTTTATGGTAATTTGAATATGATCTGTACTCTCTAGATTTCCTTGATAGAATATTAGGTCATTGGCAACAAACTAGACAACTCCAACAATAAAAGCTTTTTCATTAAACTCTCTTTTCTCTAAAGAGAACAATCTCAAGTTGCAGAGTGCAGAGCTCATCTTTTGACCTTGTACTTGACACATAAACTTTTTAAATAACAATTTGTTAAAACAAATACTTGATATATACTCTCTTTTCTCTGGAACCTTTCCAAATATTCTAGGTTCTTAAGTGTCTCAACACAGTTTACTAGAATCTTACAAAGATATATCTAATGAATACTATGCATGTAGCTGATGGAATTATGACTATAAATGATATGATGTATGCAAAGCATGCTTATCAGGCTATGTAAAAATCGCTTATTTTCTCTTTTTTCTGAATAAACAGGTGAGTTTGGTATAGTGTTCTTATTTTAAATAATGTTATGTTTTGGGCCAATTTCATTTTTTAAAGGCTGAAGAAAATTGTAAAGTGATAAAATATTTTAGAGATCTGTCATAGAACAACAACTGAAATGTAAAAATAATAAAATAAAAATATTTTTTTCTCTTGAAAAGTTTTCATTCCTTCAAGGCTCTGAAAAATTTTGTGTAGCATAGTAAAATGTGATAATTTAAAAATTTTGCTTTGTCTTTTTTTAGAATGACTACAAAAAGCTGTCAATGCAGTGCAAAGACTTTGTTGTTGGACTCCTTGATCTCTGCAGAAATACAGAAGAAGTCGAGGCCATTCTGAATGGGGATGTTGAAACATGCCAGCCCGGTGATCAGGGTCGTCCAAATCTCAGCCGTTTAAAACTTGCCATTAAATATGAAGTTAAAAAAGTAAGGTCAGGCATGGAGCCCATTTTCATTATTTCACTTCTTAATAGTGCTAAGGTGGATAAATCTTGGCATTTTTAGATTGAGCTGAGTTCTTCTAATTAGCAGATTCTCTATATGAATCATAAGCAGACTATCTAAATGAATCATAAGCATCTAGTGAGGCCTATACTACTCAGTCTTTAAAGCTGTACTTCTTTATACGGAAGATCACAGTGATTGCTACTTCCTTGACTTAAGTAAGTTATGCTATAATAATGACTGTGTATCCACATTATAAGGCATTTATTTATGATGAGACCATCACTACAGAATTTCAGACTCAATACCATTTTCTCATTTTTTAATACTACCCAATTTCAGACCATTGTCTACAATTCCTTCGTTAGTATATTTTAATCCCCTGCAGCTGGATCTTAGAGTCTTTTTAGTTTTCTTCAGTAGCCCCTACCTTTTTGACTGCTTTCTTAGGGTATATAAGATCTTTACATTTTTTTCCTCTAAGTAGGTTTTTTTTTATAAGGTTAATCCCTGGTTATATTAAATATTCAAATGGTACAGACATGCTACCTCTCAATCTGTTATGTTCTTAATGGAGAGTAAACCACTGTGAATGTTTCTCTCCACAAGTCTGTATCTTGGACACCTTCATGTATCAGCCAATAAATATCCACTTCATCTTTTCAAGAGCCACACTGTTGTATTATTATCTATTTAATCAGTTTACTATTTAAGGATATATAATTTATTATTTAGATTTTGGTTATTATAACTTTTTGTCTCTTTTGTATAGTAGACACAGCTTGCTTACTTGCATGAACTTTATCTGCAGGCAAAATTCTTAGACATGAAATTTATACGTCAAGTTTTTATTTTGAAATTTCAAGGCATTTGCTGATTCTCTTAAAAAAAAAAAGTGCACCAATTTACACAAACCACCAGAATATGAGAAGGCTTCATTTACCCACAGTAGGTGCTATCAAGCTTTACCATTTAGAGCAGACAAATATTAGTTCTTGTTTTAGTTACCATTGAGGTTAATAAGCCTTAAGACTCCTCTATATAATGTACTTTTTATATAACATTTTAGTGTTCTTATATAAATTTTTAGTTTGGGTTATTGCTTTCTATATATTCAATAAATTTATGTTTTGTTTTTAATAAAACAAAATTTTATTTAAAATGAGAATTTAAAAATTCCAAAAAACTAAAAAGTGAAAATTAAAGTTACTTTAACTGAGAAAGTTTGGGGCACAAGAATAAAAGAAGTTATCAGTGGAACAGAATAGGCCATCGAGAAACAGAACCCTGTACAATCGAGAACTTACTATATAATAATTCTGGCATTTTAATTCAAATAAGAAAGGTATATAATTGTTTTAGAAAAAAATATTTATCCATCTGGGACAGCATAATCTTTATGTCACTCGCTAGGTAAAAGTATATATAGAAATGTGTTTTTGAAATTTAACATTATAAAAAGATTCACTAATATTTTGCACAAGGGCTGATATAAACAAAGGTTAATATATATACATATATATTACATATACGTTAAAAATATTTTTATAATGTTAAATTTCAAAAACATTTCTATTCTTTGAAGGAAAGTTCATTTGTCATACAGGAAATTAGAAATTTCGAATTTATGCACTAATATTAGAACTTCTTGCCATCTTGCTTGATGCCTGTTAATTATATGTTTATGTTTGTTTTTTAATTCTAACTATATTTTCCATAGGAAAGAACAAAACTAAATATTGTAAAACACGAAAATAATTTATGTTGAACTTTTCTTTAATCAAGCTACTAAATGTTTTGTCACTTTCCTGCTAGTTTGTAGCTCATCCAAACTGCCAGCAACAGCTTCTCTCCATATGGTATGAGAATCTTTCAGGTTTACGGCAGCAGACGATGGCAGTCAAGTTTCTTGTGGTCCTTGGTGTGGCCATTGGACTGCCCTTCCTGGCTTTGATTTACTGGTGTGCTCCGTGCAGCAAGGTACGTGTGTGAAGCCTGCAGATCTATTACCTATTACAAGTGTGTCTAATCAGAGAAACATGCTGTTTACATCTCAGATCTGAGAGGCAGACTGAAATGATTCTAAAGCTAAATGTCTTCTGGAGCATCTACTTATGGGTTGTATAGAAACAATAGTTGATCACTTGCCATTGCTAAACATTGGCATGTCTCCTTTTTAGACAGTTTTAATAACACATGGGTTCAAACACACCACCACTGCCAACAAATTGTCTTCTCATTACTTAGTCACATAGCTGGTGTTTTAGCTTTAGGGCTCTCTCAAGATGACTCGTGCTAGAAAGCCTTTTACAAAAGGGGAACATCATGATCATCTCCAGTGATGATAATAGGAACTGCTGGGAACTGGGCTTTTCTCATGAAAGTGAAATTGATCATCATAGATTTTTTTCACCTTAAAATATATAATATTAAAAATCGATCTCATATAAATAATGTGTAAGTGAGGAACATAAATTTAAAATAGTGAGAGGTATTAAAATAATAGCACAAATTTTCTTACAGAAAATTATATTTTTCCTTTTCATAGGAGTAACAAAATTTACTTTGCAAAAAAAAATTACTAAATAGTCCTCATTTGAACATAAGCTACATCCATCTATGTAGTCTGTTATACTTCTACTTGTATTTCTTGAATCTTCAGAAATTTAAACTAAATTGAAAAGGGGAGAGGGTTTCTAAATTACCTGTTACCATTCTGTGGTCAGTTCAATTTTAATTTCATTTCCCTTTCACCTAACCATGAATTCAAAAACATGGTGTCTTCCACAGCATCTGGTACCTTCTACAGCTTTCATACAGGCTGTTCATGGCAGTCCTTAGAGTTACATGTTTCATAAATTTTGAGTGAATCTTGATTATCCTAATGTCCTTTGCTATTCCTTCTTCTCTGGTCATGTTTCTTTATGGCATCTGTTTTCCATTCTCATTTGTGCACACTTAGGCAAATAATCAAATTAAATGGACAGTGTCAAAAATGTTTTCTCATATTGCAAATCTGTTTTACTGATCATTATTTATCCCCTGAAGCATGCTGATAAAATCCACTTTATAATCGTTCCCATTAGCAATGGATGTAAACATTATTTGCAAGTCAGAGGATGTTTTTTATAGGGGGACGTAGCTCCACCTACACTGATGTCTTTATTGAAATGTATTTAAAATATCTTAGAATTTCCACTATATCCATGAAAATTAACCCAGATTCAGTTGAAAGCCTATACATGTTTACCGAGTGCCTATTCTGCTTAAAGTTAGTTTTGTTAGTCTTCAAGCTTTTTCTCTTTCCCCTCCTGAATTTTTTTTGTCCTTACTTGTTCTTATTATACTATTATCACCCAAATATCATTTGTTGCATGCTTATTACAACAAAAAATGAGTAATACAGGACTTTCACATCATTCTAGTTTAGGCTAACATTAACAGTTTTCATGTCCATGTTTGCTGGATAGGTAACTATTGTCATAGATAAATATCTAAAGAAAGTATGATATATAATACTTAAAGGGAAGTATTCTTCATGCTTACTCTAAATAGATTTCCAGGTCAGCTGGCTTGGCGGTGCCCACTTTATAAACCAAGAACTCTGGAAGGCTGAGGCAGAATGATTGCAAATTTGAGCTCAGCTTGTCTCAGAATAAAAATATTTTAAAAAGGGTTAGGGATGTGGCTCAATGTGAAAGCCTGTGTTCAATCCCCAGTCCTGCAAAACAACAAAAATTACTACTATTACTATTATTATTAATTATTATTTTCCAGGTCACCAATTACTAAAGTTCTTCAACAGTCTTCCTATTTACAGTTATTTTTATAAATTTGATGTATCACAACACCCAAAGGTCTGTACACCGACTCAGTTTAATAATTTCATTGCAGCTATATCCATACTTTAGACCCACTAAGTTAATTTGCTTTCTGTGAAAAATGCTAATATTATGCTCTGTATTTTCACTAACATACTATTTTAAGAATTTAATTATTCTTGACAGAAAAGTTAATATACTCAATTATGAATTTAAAACATCACCACAGGTAGATGAAGCATTGGACTGACGTAAGAACATTAAAAATATTCTATTGGTAATAATTTAAATTCACACAATTATCTTAGGAGAACATTGAAATATGCAGATGTTTATTTTATATGTATGTATATGTTTATGTTTTGCAAAGCATACAAAACAAAGTTAAGGTTTTTATTTGGTGTGCATTATGGCAGATGGGGAAGATAATGCGTGGACCATTTATGAAGTTTGTAGCACATGCAGCCTCCTTCACCATTTTTCTGGGACTTCTAGTCATGAATGCAGCTGACAGATTTGAAGGCACTAAACTGCTTCCTAATGAAACCAGCACAGATAATGCAAAACAGCTGTTCAGGATGAAAACATCCTGCTTCTCATGGATGGAGATGCTCATTATATCCTGGGTAATAGGTAACAACTGATTTTCTGTCATCATTCTTTTTGCAGCCTTAGCAGTTGGACTGAATGATACTGATTCTCTTACACATCAGTTATACAGATGTATGCAGCATGATACAATGGCACTGCATACCTTGATTTTGTCTGTGTTCTTAAAGAGCATGGAGGAAGTTGCCCTGGGTTCATTATCGGTGTCATAGTCTCCTCATATGCCTTGTGCTTTTAGCATTTCCAAAAAAAGCCCAGGAAGAAAAGTGACAGGATGGTATTAAACCCCACTAGTGATGAAAAACTGCCATTCATATTTTGGGAGAGCTGTGATTTCAAGCTTGAAAACAACCACATAATTTTATGTTGATATTTAATAGAAACTGAAGCTAATAGCCACTCACATTATTGAACACTGTGTGTTAGAATTGTTTAAAGCACCCTCTCTGTATCTCTCTCTCTTTCTCTCTCTCTCTCTATACACATTCTCTATATATATTCATTCATATATATATATATAATATATATATATACATTCTGTCTGCATCTCAGTTTTCTGATCTGTAGCACACAACACCTTTTTTATAGGATTTATGAGAGGATTAGCTAGCTTGATTTGATCTTTACAGTGGTAAGTGATAGAGGAGAAATTCAGTCTTAATTACTACACTATTTGTCATTAAAATCATACATATGTCTTATCATTAAACTAATGCAAATAAAGAATGCTTCAAGTGGATATTTGTGAATAAATAAATTTAATAGATATTAGTGCCTTTGATTAATACTGAGAATATTAAGGTGAATGTAACCCAGTCTTTGTACTCAAAGAAGTCTAAAGAGCAAGGGAATAAGTAAATAAATAATTAAAGTTCAATGCAATAAATCCCATAATTGAGATATTAGAGTGTTATGAACAAACACATACTGGCATCTAAATCTGAGAGGAAGGATATGGAATGCTGGGGAAGCTTTCCCTGGACAGTACCTTCAGTGTGAGACTTTGAAGAGAAGGAATGGAGATGTGGACACTGTAGAGTATGAGAACATTAGATGTACAAGTGTGAGCTTGTAACAACATCTGGCTCCCTGAGATATTATGAGTTAGGCAGAGGTGGAGCCCAGGTGCATTTGGGGATGTGTGGATAGGAGGCAAGGGATGGTAAAAGGGCCACAGGATGATTTTTAAGTGGTTGACAGTGTGGTCAGATCACATTTCGGAAAGGTCACAGTGGCTTTGAGGTAGAGGAGGTGCCTTAAAAGAGGGGTGGTCCAGAGGATGAAACCTAATTGAGTTGATTGATTACCATGAGAAAGGTGAGGCTGGAATTCAGGGAAAGGGGAGGGGAGACTTGCAAACTACTTTAAAAATAAACTAATTTTTAAATATGAGAAAGGAGAGCATGGATTCCATCTTGAATTAGTAGTGGTGACTGTAATACTCTAAGAGGGAAAATGTAGAAAGGAGGCCATGCTTAGTTCTGGGAGAATGAAATACTGGTAATGAGGTTTTGTGATTGATCTTGAAATGCCCATGGAATTTCCAGGGAACATCTGCTCAGTAATGGGAGGGATGACCTCTGGAAAAAGTCTGGGCTATGGATAAAGTTCAGAAATCCTCAATTCTTGGGCAGTATTTAAGCCCCTGACTATTCATGAAATTACCTAGGTTGAAAATATGTAGGCTGTAAAGAGAAGAAGGCTCAAGAAAGCTTCATACACAATCTTTAATAGTCCATAAACTTCCCCACTCTGGGGCCCTGCCCCACCTTCCTTCTTACTTACCTGGAGAAGCATCTACAACCAGTTATAGTCTTGGCTTCTTCATATTGTCACCCAATGGGATGATCAATTGAAATATTAGGAAGTATCATACAAATTACCATATGGCCATTTCAAATTCAGGTAAGGTAATTCAATAAGAGTTATTCAAAACTTCGGAATCACTATATTTCAAAAAATATAGATAGTAGCTTAATATGTGAATCATATCAACAGACTACAAATAAACCTCCAACTAAGAAAAGAACTGAGTTTTTAGCATTTCTTTTTAATATAATTGATGAAATTGAGCAAACATTATATTTCATCTTTATTATCTGACTTCATATAAGAATAAACACTATTGGCCGGGGATTTAGCTCAGTGGTTTCACTGCCTGCTGCCCAATTGCAAGGACCAGAGTTTGATCCCTGGTACCAAAAAAAAAAAAAAGAAGAAACAATGTGAGGGGCAGGGATTTAGCTCAGTGGTTTCACTGCCTGCTGCCCAATTGCAAGGACCAGAGTTTGATCCCTGGTACCAAAAAAAAAAAAAGAAGAAACACTATTAGAACATGGCCTTTATCTTATTAATCTAACTGCCTATGTGTCATTATTTTTTAAAAATATATATTAGCATATGTAAAATATATAACACACTGCTTGGCATATACAAAATGTTTAATTAATTTCAGAAAATTTTAATTATTAAATTTTTCACTGAGACTTGGAAAGTTTTTTCTAAATGAGGATTTTCTACCACAGACATGAAACAAGATATGGCTTCTTCAGTACAAGATGAAACTGAAAAAATTAAATTTTATGTAAGGGGATTAGAAATAAAGAATGTTTATTTCATTCTTTATCATAATTTATCTTCCTCATATTGATGTAAGATTTATTATAAACTTTAGATTTTTGTTTCTTACTTGGAAACCTAAGCCAAAAATATTAAATTAAGCTTTAATTTTTGGAGTGAAAAATACTTTTCTTGGAATTATTGTCCTGCTTATATTTATATTTTGCTTAGGGATATTTCACAGCATTTTTTTAAACAATGGCTAACTCAAAAAGACAGCTATATCTTTATAGCATATGTTAGACTCCTAGCTTAGTTTCTAATACTAGTATTTTTCTTTTGCTTATTTTAATTCTTAAAGGAAAGTTGTAAAACTTTCTAGAATTTTTTTTGCTTAAATTCTTTTGTTGGTACATTTTAGGGATACAATACATTTACATTTATCATTGGATGTTTGTACCTGTACATGATGTATCTTGGTTCTTATTTTTTCCCCATTACCTGTGCGCCCTTCACCCCTCCACTAGACTTTGTTTCCATTTTTTTTTTCTTTCTCATAATTTTTCCTTTCCATTCTTTCCTTTCCCCATCTCCTCCCACCACCCCTACCCCTTTGGACCTTTTCCTATTTCAAAGTATCAATTA